CAAGGATTTTGACATTGAATAAAACCAGGTCTCCGACCTCAAAGCTTCTAACATTTTTTCTGCTACTTCCAACATTTTTTATGCTACTTCCAACTGTATATTCTTTCTGCATGTCTTGGCTCTGAGCCATCGCATCGCAAACATGTCGTAGGACACTCAGTGTGGTAGACAGAACGTCATTAACTTCATTACGGACAGAGAGGTGGCTAACATCAGCCAGCCGTTCGGTTATTCCTCCCCTACCAAGCCCTGAAGCATGGGATGGCGGTATCACCGGGACGCGAGCCCGGTCACGTAGAACGGCTTGTAGCCAGTAGATGAATGGGTTCAGAGCAACCTGTACGAGCGACAGCATAACGCTTAGTGCTCCGAAGTCTCAGCGCAGACGCAACGACGCAATTCACGAGTTCAGTGTGACCATTGATCTGCAGATGTCCGCTGTTGACATGGTCAACATGGTGCCCATTGTCGACCAAAATCTTCCGGTTAAGCGCCGGTCTCTATCAGAGACAATTGACCCTGGGATCCATGTTGTCAGGATACACGATTGGCAAACAGCGTCGCTGTACCCACACCGTCGATGGTGCCGCAAGATGAGGCACCTTTCTCAAATAGCCCACAAATACCACCACACCCTTGCTGCCCGCCGAGTTCTTCGGCAGGCCAAACACAAAGTCCATACTCATGAACTGCCAACACCCGGCGGATATCGGCAAACTGGCCAGCGGCGCTGCCGCATTCGGATATGGTTTCACCCTTGACACTTCTCACATGTGCGAACATTAGGGCTCGTCCATTTGTGCAGAATAGGCCACCAATAGTGGCAACTTTCCTAGCTGTACGCTTCTCACGAACAAGATAACCACATAGTGAGGTTTCGTGAAACTCATAGAGAATACGATATTTCACATCCTCATCGTGAGGAATCACAATTCGTGGCGTATCCGTCGAATCGGTGCTGTAATACAGCAAACCGTAATTCGACGAATATCGGTGTAACCGCGCGCGCAAACGCGCAGACAATTTCTTGTCTAAATTTCTAAACTCTTTGCTACCGATAGCCTGTAGCAGCGCTACAAACATACCATCACCCGCGAATGCGGCGTGTATCAAATCTGTCATTGGCGACGTCACTGTCGTGTCATAAGCAAGCTCATCATCCGGTCTGCGTTACAACGCATCAGCCAAAGCATTCTGCTTTCTTGGCTTATACTTCACCTCAAGGTTATATTTTGCGAAGAAGGCCATTCTCTGCGTGAGGTAACGACTGAGTCGCAGTGCGTAGTGACGCATATCTATGTAGATCACAAACGACTTGGAGCCAAGCAGGTGCACCCCGAACTTGACAAGTGCATACTTCATCCCTAACTTCTTGTCGTGAGCTTTACAGTTTGTCTCCGCAGCCTTAAGCTGGCGAGATTCAAACGCGATCATCCGATCTCACCCATCGACGTCTGCTTGCAGCAGAGCACAGCCGATGGCAAAGTCGGGAGCGTCACAGACGACACAAAAAAAAAACGATCGGGATATGACAACGCCAGTATTGATGCAGGAAAGAGGCTGTCTTTGGCCCTATCAAAAGCATCCCGATGCTCGTTGGCTCAATACCTTTCCGTATCCTCTTAAGAAGATTCCACAATGGTTGTGCCAATTCCGCACAATTTTTGCTATACTTGTGCAATTTGCGAGGCGAAGCCACTTGCGCTAGTCCTTTTGGTGCTTTGGATCCGGCCAGTCCACAATGGACTTGGCGTTAGCGGGATCTGCTCAAAGGCCACGCTACCCAATGAAGCACCCTAAGAAGTTGATTTCCTCCGCGCCGAAGATGCATTTATAGACAGAGTATTCGTGCACATGCACTCGAGCACTACTCTCACATGGACGATGTGATCTTCCTCATCTGTCCTACGACTGTGGACGAAGATGTCGTCGAAGTATGTTTGTGCATACGCCCAGTATGGCCTGAATAATTTCGTCATAAGACGATTAAATGTTGCTGGTGCTTTGACACATTTGACAGCCCTTAAGGCATCACCAGCCACTCCCAGAGCATGCCGCTTTGAGATCTCACCGCCGTCAGCGGAATATCACTCGCTCTCATGAGCAATTGGTCATACCCATCGACCAAGTCGAGAGCGCCGTACTTGTACATCCAAGCATATTGTTCTGGAGAACATCATATCTAGAAATTTGTGTCTGTGTTGAAAT